GCATGTGTGAGGCACTGAGTTGGATCCTCAGCCCCACATAAAATAAACAAATAAAAAATAAAAGTTAAAAAAAAAAAAGAGAATGCTGGATTGGGGCTGTAGCTCAGTGGGAAAGTGCTTGCCTCGCACTCATGAGGCACTGGGTTCGATCCTCAGCACCGTTGAGCCACAACCCTTCAGCTCTGTTGTAAGGGTGTCCCATGATTCAAAACTCAATCCTGGCAAGCCTACATAAGCAAAATAAAGGTCCATTGACATCTAAAATAATATTAAAATAAAAATAAATAAAATAAAGACATGTGCCCATCTACAACTAAAAAATTATTTTAAAAGTTTAAAATAATAATAATACTAATAATACCACCACCAACTCCTGTTACATGCAGTAGCCACATTCTAGTGGCTCAATCAGTGAAGGCTGAACAGTGGCTCCTAGGGGAAATGGCAGTCCTGAGTCCAAGGAGCCTCTGGCCACAATGTGTCTGCCAATCAATACAGAACCTTGTTTTTTGTGCGTCTCTGTTTAATGACACCTCCTTTCACACAGGCTGTGACTCATTAGCATCATCGACACTGTAACTCATTCCTACCCAGGAGAAGCTTATTTACTGCTGGTGTTTTGCTTCACGGGGCACATCACAGGCTTCTTGCATTTAAGGATTACTAGACAGCATTAAGAGACTTTTTAAATAGCAGAAGTACCAGCAAAAAGCACAAAAAAATACAGCAGATGTGGCATTAAGTAGATCTCGAAGAGGACACTTGTTTTCAGTATGAGCTGATAGGAGGGCAGCACGTCCACCCCAACTGGCCACACACAACTCAAATCAACTTCAAACAAGACAGGCTTCAAACGACCATGCAAGTGCCGTGAGCACTGACTCGGGGGTGTAGCGCATTTTAGCAATCAGGCAAATTTGCAAATACAGGGTGTGCACATGATGGAGATTCACTTAGCTGCGTCACAGCGTTGTTGAGGGCTGGGGGTGGATTGTTAAATGACAAAACGCATGAATAACACTTAGCAGAGCAACAACTCAATACGTTTATTGTTATTATTTGCAGAACACACTGCATCTTGACCCCTTTACTGTGTCCTTTCATGAAGCCAAGAGGTGGACTTAGATCCCGCCTGTGCCAGTGGCCCACGGCACTGTTGAGTCTCCCTCATCCTCATCCTCTCATCTCCAGCCCTGCTCCTGCTGCTCACTTACAGCTAGTGGGTGATGGTGCTCCATAAAAACAACCAGAAGAGACCTGCCTTTCGACCCCCCCCCCCCCCCCGCAGGTCTGCAGGCCTCCCGCACAAGAGCCTCCATGCTGCCTCTCTCCTGGAATGATGCGTCACTCACAGATGGACCCTTTTATTTGAGCCCTGGACTCCCCCATACCAAGGTCCTTTGCTCCTGGAATTCCCCTACAGCCCCTTCTGCCGCATCTCTACTGGCTCATCTCACCAGATTATGTCCTAGCCTTAAAAATCCCTCCATTTGGGCTGGGGTTGGGGCTCAGCAGTAGAGCGCTCATCTAGCATGTGTGAGGCCCTGGGTTCAATCCTCAGCACCACCTAGAGATAAATATAAATAAAAGTATTGTGTCCAACGACTTCTAAAAAATAAATGTTAAAAAAAAAATCCCTCCATTTGGGCTGGGAGTGTGGCTTGGTGATGAAGTGCAGGCCTAGCATGCACAAGGCCCTAGGTTTGATCCCTAGCACTATAAAAAACACACAAGCTGGGCACAGTGGTGCATGCCTGAAATCCTAGTGACCTGGGAGGCTGAGGCAAGAGGATCGCAAGTTCAAGGCCAACCCCTGTCTCAAAATAAAAAATTAAAAGGAATTGGAGTATAGCTCAGTGGTAGAGTACCCCTGGGTTCAAACCCAGTACTGGAAAACAAAAACAACTCCATTCAACAGCAGTTGACCTGAATCAACTAGAATGGCATGCACCCTCTTCTTACCTGAACACTCACTGCAGCAATTGACCTAGCGCATCTCCCTTTAAATGTTTTCTTGGCTCCCCTCAGTGTGCCCACCCTCCTGGTTTCCTCCTAAATGCCCTGTCATGACTCCTCAGCCCCATGGCTGCCTCCCCTGTACCACCACGCCTCAGCTGTAGATATAGCCTGCCCTGTGCCTCGGTCCCTTTCTCCTCTTTCCTGAGGCCTCATCTAACCTGTGGCTTTATTGGTTTATTTATTGTGGTGCTGGGGATTGAACCCAGGGGCACTTTACCACTGAACCACATCCCCAGCCCTTTTTATTTTTCATTTTGAGATACAGCCATGATACATTGCTGAGGCTGGCCTTGACCTTGTGGTCCTCTGCCTCAGCCTCCCTAGTAGCTGGGATTACAGACAGATGCCAGTGCACTCACCTGTACATGAGATGTTTAGACTTGCTCATCCTACCTACTGGCTGCCTGGTAACTCTGACCTACCTATCCCCATTCCCACCCTCACCTATCCCTGGTAACCAGTTTAATATTCTCTCTCTCTCTCTCTCTCTCTCTCTCTTTATAGATAGATAGATAGATAGGTAGGTAGATAGATAGATACATAGATAGATAGATAGATAGATAGATATAGGTATAGATATGATTCCACAGATAATCGAAGCTATATGATGACTACCATGACTCAGCTTTAGGGGCCTGGTTTGACAGCCAGGGCTTGCCCTGACCCCCAGGGCAGGATCAGTGGCAACCTCAGCAGGCTCCCCCAGCCCCCTGCTCAGCTGGTGCACTCACCACATGCACTTCGCTAAGATTCTTTAGGGGTCCAGGCCCTGCCTGCCCCAGTGCTCAGCCAAGATGTGGGGAATTGAACTCAGGTGCGTGGACCCTTCCTGCTTTGTAACTCGGTATCTGAGGGCTTATGCCAAGGCCTCTCACCACCTGACGAGGTTTCCTGCTTTCAGACACAAGTTCAGGCCCAGCTTGCAGGGGCTCATTACCAACCTGAGCTCCCAGCAAGGGCTTTGCCGTCTGGGTTGTAGCAGAATTGGTCATGCAGAGCTCACATCTGTGAAATGGGGATAAAAGTACCTACTAAACACGATTGTCCCAAGGACCACTCAGTGAAGGTTCCCTGCACCTGGCAGAGTAGGAGGCACGTGCAAGGTGCTAAAGAAGCTTTTGCCCCCAAGCTACCCACTCCCAGCCCACCTGTTAGGTACCTGCTTGCCTCTTTTGCATCATGAGAGCTAGTATCACCCTTTCCCCCATCTGCCAGGCCTGTCTGGAGCCCAGGGAAAAGCGTGTTCCCTTGTTGGATTTGCTGAGCCTGATACTTGGGTCCTCCCTGACTCCCCACTTGTTTTTTAAGTTCTGACCTTTGTCCTTCTGGCCTTCTCTCACTTGAGTACCTCCAGACCTACAGCAGAGCTCCAGTCATCCTTTCCAGAAGCAATGAGCCAAGTGTGTGTGTGGGGGGGGAGCAGAAAGCCAGGAGGGGGTGGTGTCTGTGGCCCTGGGACCAGGAGTGGGCTACTGTCCTCAGGATGCAGGGGCGTGAGAGCCGCAGAAGGGCTTCCTGAGGCAGGGAGGCTTCTTGGATGTGGGTGCTCTGGGGATGTCACAGCCACTTTGATAGAGACGGCTGGGTTAGGAGGGGGTGCCTCCTCAGCTTCCTCCTCTCCCACAGCAAGGGGAAAAGATCAGACCATGTGACCTCCAATAAGGTCCTGAGCCTACAAGGGCATCCCTGCCTGAGTCAGCCATTGGTGTGTCACTGAAAAAGGGCTTTAAGGCTGCTCTGAGGGCTGCAATTCCAGCTCCTCCATAGAGCACCTTCCAGCTCAGATAAACCTGAGCTTTTCTACCTGCTATGTTCTCATCTGAGAGTTGTCAAGAGAATCAAAGGAGATATTTGACTAGCTTTCCATTGGACCTGGAAACATCTGAGCTGCTATTAACCTCATGGTGGACTTCCTCATGGATGAGCATATAGAAACCAAAAGCAAAGCAGAAACTAGAATGATAAGAATTCTTTCCTACTTTTTTTAATGTCTCAAAGAGGCCTTTCTTTATGCCTATCCCAAATCAAAATTATCTATTTTTATTTCCCTAGGTATCACCTAGCTTCTCAAAGAACTTGCCCTCTCATTTGGAGGTGACTATATGTTGATTCACTGATTGTCCGATTACCTCTCCTAAGGTTTTCAGTGCTGAGAACAGTGCCTGACCCATCGTGGCCACTAAACTAGCAAATAAAGAGTGGACCGAGTGTGTTGGGCATGAGCAACTTTGCATACATTGAATACTCAGGACACCTGAGAGGCAATAATACTGAAAGGCAACACCTCCAAAGGGCTTACTCCAGGCCGGGCCTGTATGAGGGGCTCTACAAATGTCAGTTCCTTCCTGTCAGGCAGTGAGAACACATCTGCATTTACTGTGAAACTACTGAAACTTATGCTTCCAGGACCCTCATGTGATCAGAAGGGCAGTGTGTTCTCATGGTCTTGTCAAATTTGCAAAAATAAGACATGTTGAGATTCTTTACCTTAGAAAGGGCTTCACACAATGCAAGAGCTTCAGGCCCTGCATAACCTGGGCCTGAGTATGATTATTCTTCCCACTTCACAGATGAGAAAGCTGAACCTCAAAGATCAAGTAACCTGCCCAAGGACATTCAGAGCAAGGATTTGAATGCAGGCCTACCTGTCTGCAAAACCCTTTCCACTCTGCACAGGGCTCCTAAATCTAGGGAAAGGAGCCCAGGACTCCTGTTAGTATGTGGTTGCTCTCAGGCAACTGTGCAGCTGTATGGGATTCTGAACACAGGAAGGGAGAGAGAATCTGTGATCTGAAGGGTCCCAAGTTCAGAGCCCAGCATCCCAAGCACCAGCTACTTGACATGGGAATCCTGCTAAATCTGACCATCTCCTCCCCCACCCTGCCCCAGCCTGGGTGACCCAAATCTATTGTTTGTCTTTCCAGCTTCTGAAAGCAAACTGCAATGGACCAGCCCAGCTCACCCTAAATAAACCTGCTCTCTGTCCCCTTCCCCTTCCTGGGCCCCTCCTTCGGGCTGCATGGCCCAGTCTGGTGTCTAATGCCAGGCTGGGGCAAACAAGAGCTGGCTCACTCTCTCGCCTCAAGGGAGGCCCTCCCCTGGCCCGTCTGCAAAGGGCCAGTTTCGGCCGCCCAGGCATTCAGTTACCTTCATTAGAATGGGCCCCAGCAAGCTGGCCGCCTCTGACCGCCACTGAGGGCAGGGCTGATTCTATCACAGCAGGGGTGGAAGAAAAGCAAGAGTGTAAAAGAGCTGCCTTTGCCTGGCTGCTGAGATGGAGAGAGGGCGGGAGGGTGCGATGTGCCCTTGCCCTTCATAGGCTTCAACAGCCTGGCTCAGTGCAGAGGAATCTGAGGTGAGACGGCTGCATGGTCCATTCTGAGGGTAAAGCTCAGTGCAGACAGACCCACGATGGTGGCCCTAGACCAAACCACGCAGAAGAGAGAATGAAATCAGAGGGAAACATTAGGGGTGGGGAAGGAGAAACCCAAGGAGCAGCAGTTTTTGAGAATACCAGAGAGCTAGAGGCAGAGTGGATGCCTGGCCTGAGATCTCTTTTCTTCCCTGGGCAAGGAAGTAGGCTCATTGACACTAAGCACCAGGAAGGCTGATGTTTGAAGATGTCCTTTATAGCTGGGATGCAGCTCAGTGTCAGAGGCCTGATAAGTATATGTGAGGCCCTGGGGTTTGATCCCTAGCGCTGTGAGGAAAAAAAACTACATTCTTTAAATCCAAAGTGCAGAGATTCCAAATGTGAATTCTTCCAGAAAATGGAAATAAGTTTTGAGTGTAAATGGACATTAGCATAATAAATGTTGAGCTTTCAGGACTGAGGGTGGCAGCATCCCTTTCTGGGCCACAGGAAGCTGAGCTGCATGGCTCTTGGCCATCTGGTTTCTGTAGATTCTGACTGCCTGGTTGATGGGATTACAGAATTTATCCTAACCCCGGAGTGTGAGGGAATGGAGCAGCGGGGAGGGTCTTTTACACCCAGCTGTAATCCGACAGCAGAGCAGCAGCTGGCTGTAGGTGGGGGACAGCTGTGGACACTCAGGTAGGGTTGGTGTGGGAGGAGGGTGGAAGCTCCAGCCAACTTTGCCACTCTGTAACTTGGGGAAAGCCTCTCTCCCTTTATTTATTGGGTGGGGGGCAATAGTGGGAATTGAACTCAGGGGCACTCTACCACTGAGCTACATCCCCACATCCTTAGCCCTTTTTATTTTTATTTTGAGAAAGGATCTTGTTAAGTTGCCCAGTCTGGCCCTGTACTCATGATCCTCCTGTCTCAACCTTCTGAGGAGCTGGGATTACAGGTGGGCACCACCATGCCCATGAGAAAGTCTCTTAACCTCTCTCAGCATAACTTTCTCAGCTGTAAAATGGGCATAAGAAACCTAACTTTAGCTGGATGTGGTGGCACACTGTCATCTCAGCAACTGGGGAGGCTGAGTCAGGAGGATCACAAGTTCAAAGCCAGCCTCAGCAACTTAGTGAGACCCTGTCTCAAAATTAAAAATAAAAAGGGCTGGGGGGCTGCGGCTGTAGTCAGTGGCAGAGCATTTGCTTAGCATGTATGAGGCACTGGGTTTGATCCTCAGCACCACATAAAAAATAAATAAATAAAGGCACGCTGTCCATTTACAACTATATAAAAATTTTTTTAAAAAAGGGGGACTGGGGGCTGGGGATGTGGCTCAAGCGGTAGCGCGCTCGCCTGGCATGCGTGCGGCCCGGGTTCGATCCTCAGCACCACATACAGACAAAGATGTTGTGTCCGCCAAATACTAAAAAATAAATATTAAAAAAAAAATTCTCTCTCCCTCTTTCTCACTCTCTCTCACTCTTTCTTTAAAAAAAAAAAAAAAAAAAAAAAAAAAAAGGGGGACTGGGGATGTGGCTCAGTGATAAAGTGCCCCTTGGTTCAATCCCAAGTTGGGGGGGGGAAGCTAACTTTATATAGCACTGTCCATGTGCTAGACACTAACCTAAATGATGATACTACCTCTAATCCTAATAACACTTTGCAAAGGAGGCATCACCACCCTCATCTTGCAGGTGAGAAAACAACAGCACTGATGGGTGAAGAAATGTATCCAGGTCATACAACTAGAAGTGGTAGACACAGAATTTGGTCCCCAGACTCCTGAGTCCAGGGTCCGTGGGCTGCATAGAGATGAGACATCCTCTCTGCCCCCTTCACCTGAGACCTGCTACTGTCAGGTGCGCCAGGTAAGTGATGCTATAAAGCAGACTAGTCAGGGGCTGGCTGAGTGGTGAATTCAGATGCAGGACTGGAGAGGAGAGGCCCAGAGTACAGGCCTGGGCTTTGGGACCAAAGGGAAGAGTCCACAGCAGTTCTAGAACTTTGGTCAGGTGAGCTTGCTAAGGATGCAGATTCCTAGGTGTATCCCAGATCCTGAGCTGGTCCATGGGGCCCAGGAACCACCTTAGCATGGACACACCAGCTGAGGGACAAGGATGGTAGGCACCACTCTCAATTCCTTCCTGGCGAGAGCAGTCAGAGGAGCCAGGGCTAAGACTTGGACCTGAAGGAAAGAGCCAGGTTCTGGTACAGCCCTAAGGCAGGCTTGGGGAATCCTGGGCCTCTGTAACCTGTCTCCCTATATCTGAGATGGAAGGGTTAAAATAAAGAGTCCCGTCCACTGCCTCCATCCTCAGGTCCTGGCTGAGACCTCCTCACTCCCTGTCTGCTCCCTGTAACCAGGCAGCAGTGCTGATCTCTCTCTTTGATTATGGGCTCCCAGAGGGAGGAATAAAAATAAAATAGCCATGACAGGAACAGCTGCTCTGTCAGGAGTGGGCCCACGGGGTGGGAGGGGTGCCACCAACTATGGCTGGCATGGCCAACTTCTGCTGCTGTCTCAGCCTAAGAAGGCTGGGAATACCCCACACCATGACGCAGGTCTCCTCCCAGCCAGACTGAAGCACACACGTGGATTACCATGGAGCCCGTGGGTGGGTCTGGCAGGAGAGGAATGCATGGGAGAAAAGAAAGGTATGTGTTGGCCACAGCTTTCTCTACCCAACAGGGCCAGGGAGGGAGGTTCAGGGTCTCTTGCTCCTTGGGGCCTGAGGTGCTCTTGCGAGCCGAGAACCTTGGACCTCCTGCTTCTGATGCTGAACTAGTGTCCTCTATATGCCAGGCAGTTTGGGGCTGTCACCTTCTTATTCCTTTGCAAACCAACCTAGCAGGGAACTGTCATGTCCAGTTTATAGACAGGGGAACTGAGGCTCAGAGAGGCTAATGAGGCAGTGGGAAGGAGCACAACTGCCTCCCGGGGGGGGGGGGAGGGCGATCATTATGTAAAAGGACTGTGCCCTGGTTTTGCCTGTGCTGCCACCCCTCCGCTGGATGGCTTGAACTTTACAGGCTTTAGGGACGTTTGTCAGAGTTCTGAGCTAGCAGCCAGCCCAGTAAGCATAGAGGCCACATCATGATAAGAACCCAGCCAAGGCTGGGTTGGCGATCCAGAAGAACTTTCCAGGAGATGGTGTGGGGCGGCCACTCCACAATCCCAGCTTGGGCGCCGATGGTAGAAGCCAAGTCCAGGTTCCAGCCATGGAACCTTGAGACAATCCCTTTTCCTCACAGTGCCTCACTGGAGCTTTCCCGGGACTCCTAACGCTTCCCTGCCAATTTCCAAACGGATGCTTCTGGCCCTCCTAATGTTCACCCATCCGTGCAGCTGGCCACGCATTAAAGCCACCTGGGGAGTCTTTCAAACACCCAAGGACTAGGTCAAACTACAGACCAATTAAGTCAGGACCTGGGTCACAGAATTTTTTAAGGCTCCTCATGTGATTCCAGCACGTGGCCAAGGTCCAGACCCAGGACGTGACATACAAACAAATGTGCCTGGTCCTAACTTTAATGAGCATGTGAATGAATCACCTGGGATATTTTAAAATGCAGATTCTGATTCTGTGGGAGTGTGTTTAGCTTCTCATTCTGCTTTTTGAATCCACTCCCAGGCCTTCCATGGCTGACACATGCATGGGGATGTGAGCCACATGAGGAATGGCAAGGACCTTGAAGGTCCCTAACACGATGAGCTGAAAGGGGAGAAATGGTTCCCCGGACAAGCCTGTGTGCAAATGCACATAATCTCCTTGTCCGCCTGACAGTGCCAAGGGGTTTGGCCCAACAGAGCTCTGAGAAGTCCTGCACTGTGGAAACCCACGGAGTTCTGTCTGGCCATAGAAGTACCAGCAGGCCCCCCAAGTGCTAGCAAGAGCCCATGCCACACTGTGGTCCTTAGCTATGCAATTTGGGGATTGGCCAAGGGTCATTGGGTGGATGGAGGTGTGGACGGTGGATGATGTCTGAGCCAAAGGCTAGGCCTGGTCTTGCGGGGGGAGGGCTTTGCTACCTGGCCAGTGTAGCAGGGGTCTGTCTGCTTCATGCTTTGGACTCAAGCCTTGCTGTTCTGCCCCTGCACTGATGTTAAAACTGATGGTTTTTCCTTTTCTCTTCTCACTCTCCTCCTCCCTAACCTTGGGGGGGAGGGGAAGAAAGATCACCCTTCCTCCCAAACTAGACCAAGTTATCTGTCCTTAAGTAAACACACACCACAGGAATGAAGTAATTCAGACTTCAGAGATGGCGCCAGAAGATCTAAGAAACAGCTATCTCTCAGGGCCACAAGTGAATTACGACCCCTGACACAGCACACCTGGAATGTAGCCTTTGCATCATTTCTTTAAAAGCCCTCTGTTCCCCCTGATGGTCAGAATCACAGACTCTGGGACAAGAGGCTCCCATGTTTCACTTTGGCTAGCAAAGCAATAAAACTCCTTTTCCTTTTTCTCAAAACCAAGTCTTTGTTATTGAATTGGCAATGGGGACAGGGACCAAGCTTTCAGTAAGACTGGACACCTCCAGGGCAAGTGTCCTTCAGGTATTTATCAGACAGTAGGACGGGGAAAAGGGAGCCTGTGAAGCCAGGCGGCAACAACAGGAGGTGCGAGGCTATGTTAGTAGGGGTGCAAGTGCTCGGGGGGGGGGGGGGTTATGAGCAGAGGGCTGCAGTGGGGGGCCTCGGTGCAGGGCCCAGCCAGGGTCTGCAGCACAGCGCCGTTCTTTACTAGTCCCATGGGAGGACTCTGTGAAGTCACAAAAATACACACCCGACTTTGTATCTGTGGAAAAACCGTCCTAGGGACCTGATACTGCCAGTCATGGAATGAGAGAGAAAATAAAGAGGTCCAAGAAATGAAAGGTCCTTTGCCAGAAAATAGAAGCACAGTAGTAACATTTATAGCCACCAGCATTTTTGGCACTCTGTCTTGCTGTCAGGCTCCAACGCACCCTGACTGATGCCAAGGATTTTGAGTGCATCTCCTGGAATCCTGACAGTGAGATGAGGAACACTCCAGGGTGACCATCGCAGAGAGGGAAACTGAGGCTTGGAGAGAAGCCAAGACATATTCAGCGTCTCAGTGGGAAGGGGGGCGAGCTGTGGTCCACACCCAGGTCTTTCTGACTCAAAAGTCCCTGCTTTCAACTGGGAAGCTCCAGCAGATACATGTCAAATGTTCACCATGGCCCAATCCTGACTTAAGCATTTTAAATGTAATTATTATTATTATTATTATTATTATTATTATTATTTGCAATAGAAAGATCAGTAAGCCAGGACATCAAACATGGGTATCCATGTACTTACTTCTTCACCAGACCCAAAGACTAATTTTTCAGTGGACCCCTAAACTTGAGCTTGAAGTGACCCATCCCTGTCCCACCAGTCACATCTTAGAAGTTGGTCTTTCCTAGCTCAAGAGGGCCTGTGGCCAGGGAGGCAGCAGGGCTGACCATCCTGTCCAGGCTGCCTCTGTGAAAGGACACCAGCCAGAGAGTGACCAGAAAGCAGGAGAGAGCACTGTGGCTATCACCAATTTCCAGCACACTTCATGTCCTTCTGTCCTGAGCCCTGCCCTGCCCCTGGCTTTACACAAGCCCTGGGAATCCAAGAAGTGCAGAATGCTTACCATGCCCCAGTACCTAGAAGAGCAAAAGGGCCTCTGGGACACTGTCCTACTGTTATTTAGGCGTGTCCAGGCTGCAGGGTAGGGGCTGCTTCTAGTCAGCAGAGAGGACTGGAAAAGCCTCGCAGGATGGCAGTTGAGCAATCCCAAAACAATCAGTACTACAGGAACAGAGCAGGAGAGGATTCTTAGAGGGGGAATAGCACAGGCAAAAGCCCGGAAATAGCAGGCCTGCAGAGTTTTGGGAAATGCTGAGTAAATTAATCAGGCATGAGAGGGGCAGCTACAGAAAGGTTCTAGTCAAAATGACATGTATTTATCTGTTCCACAAATACCACCTGGACTTAGTGTGTGCCAGACACTGAGGTATAACACCAGAGACTGTCGCCGGCCTCCTAAAGCTCAGACTCTAAGGATAAAAAATACTATAATCTGATGGGCTTTTAAAAAATTTTATTTATTTATTTATTTTTATTGTACTAGGGATTGAACCCAGAGGCACTTTACCACTCAGCCATATCCCTAGACTTTTTATTTTTAATTTTGAGACAGGATCCCACTAAGTTGCATAAGGCCTTGCTAAGTTGCTGAGGCTGGCCTTGAACTTGCAATCTTCCTGCCTCAGCCTCCCAGGCTGCTGGGATCTGATGGATATTAGGCCTCAGAGAGGTTAAGTGATTGTTCGTCACCAGACAGACCATCCATTTCAGAGGCAGGACTCCCGGAGCCCTGGCACAGGTAAGGGTACTTGTAAAATGACTCTGAGGGAAGAAAGGACATGAAGGAGGACAGGACCAGGGAGGTGACACAGAAGAATGCAAGTGAAACCAGAGGGGGCAGATTAGAGACAGGAAACAGGCCGAGAGGCTGTTGTAACAGTTGACCCTGAGTGAAGGCTGGGATCAGGCCTGCCATGGTCAGCTGTACAAAAGTTGTGCACTGCACAGTCCCCAGAGGGGCCACTCCTAACACATTACAATAAGATCAGTGCCCCATGGAGCTGTGTAGCACAGGGGCTCCAGCTAACAGATAGGGGGATTAGACACTTGACTGGGTGTTGAGCCACACGGCTTCCAGTCTCTGGTTAATAACTGTCATCAGAAGACCACATTTTGTTTCCTCCCAGGGAGGAAGTGGCAACTGCACCCCAAACCCAAGTGCATTTCACACCACACCCTGGGCTACCCACAGGGCTAGTCTGTTTTGCATTTCTGTGACTGGTGCACAAAGGGCAGCCTCAGAGACACTCCCCAGCATGAGCACACAAGTGGTGGACAGACAGACATACACACACACACACACACACACACACAATCATTAATCCAGAACAAAACAAAACTCCTGGGTACTGATCAGGGCAGACCATGGGGAGACCTGTTGCCCCACGGGGCAGACTGGGACCTACAATGGCACCTCCACAATCCAGCCCTTTATCTGGAATTCACCAGGAGGCTTAAGTGTCTCTTTGCTACAGGGCAGACCAGCCTAGCTACCACCTCACCTCCAGAGAATCAACAAATACTCATCCCTGTAAAAGACAAGCCCACCCACTCAGTTAAAAATTAATTAATCAAAAGGACAATCCCAACCGGCCAGGTGGCCCATGCCTGTAATCCCAGTGGCTGGGGGAGGCTGAGGCAGGAGGATTACGAGTTCAGAGCCAGCCTCAGCAATTTAGCGAGGTACTAAGCAACTCAGTGAGACCCTGTCTCTAAATAAAATACAAAATAGGGCTGGGGATGTGGCTCAGAGGTTGAGTGCCTCTAATCCCTGGCACCTCCCAACACCAAAAAACAAAAGACGATCCCTTCTCCAAGGACCCTAGAGACACTGGCAGATCTGGTGGTCCCAGCTCTCTCTCTCTCTGTGACACCTCACCCCCTGCAAAAGAGCCCCCTCCTCCCAACCTGGGAGTAATCCTTTCCTAGTCAAGTCTCTTCTTACTAAATCAAAACTCACTGTGATTCCCCCTGACATCTGTGAAATTATTTATAATAAACGACATATTTATAGTTGGATTAATGAGATAAAAATAAACCCTACAGAAAAGGGAGGTAAATAATTAAATTGATAGGTTCTGTTGATTCACCAGCTTATTAGTTAGAAGTTCTCTACCAAGACCAAGAGGGAAAACAAGTTAAAGTATAATTCTTATTTGATGGGAGAAGGATTTAATTTCAACATGCAGGACTTCTTTTCTGGTGCAAAAAATCCTAAAAAGAATGTACTGGATCAAAGAATACAAATCGTATAAGGTTTCCTGAGCGGTTTTAAGACATCTTCTTTTTAGGGTTGCTTTAGAAGAAGCCAAGGGAATAGAAACAAAATGTACAACACAAAAAAGGTTTTTGCAAGGTGGTGATATTAAACAGTGCTTCTGACATGGAATTCCATATCAGGATGGAGACTGGAAAATCTAAAGGAAGAGGGGATGTCTCCTTGGGGGAGAGCCACTGACTCTCAGCCAAATCCCGCCGGTAAATTCAGGACTGTGCTCATCAGGGAGGGGAAGTGCATCCTATTCCCACCAATATCCCTGAAGCTGTCAAAGCCTAGTTCACTGTGACAATCAAAGGTCCTCACATGTCTCCCACCTGCTGCCCACCTCAGGGCTCCCTTCAGTCTAGTGTCTGGTGGGGACCCATGATTCCAGCGACTGGGGAGGATTGCAAGTTCAAGGCCAGTCTCTGCAACTTAGTGAGACCCTGTTTTAAATTTTAAAAAATAAATAAAATAGAAAATGAGCCTGGTGTGGTGGCACACACCTATAAATCCCAGTGACTTGGGAGGCTGACACAGGAGGATGGCAAATTCAAGAACAGCCTGAAAAACTTATTAGAGACCCTGTTTCAAAACAAAAAATAAAAAGGCCGGGGATGTTGCTCAGTGGTAAAGTGCCCCTGAGTTGGATCCCAGTACTGAAAAAAAAACAAACATAGGGAGTGCTGATAATATAGCTCAGTGGTGGAGCCCAGTTGGGTTCAATCTATAGCACCACCCCCACCACAAGAACTTCCCTCCAGGAGAAGATGTCTGGGCAGGAAGCTCAGAAGCTCATAGGGAACAGACAGATGTGAGTGGTGGAATGAAGTTAAGGGGATAATCCTATAAAATGGGCCTGCTATGCTGCCCCTGACCTATGCTTTCTTTTCTAAAAAGCAATTACCCTGCAGCCCAGCTGGCTTAAGTTAACAGGGTAGGTTACATTCCTCAGAAAACCACCTGTTATCTGCGGGAGAAATGCAGGCCTGAAATGCTTGATAAGAAGAACACAAGTTACCCTGAAGGGGGGTGGGGGCCTTTTGTGACCCTTACTCCTACCAGATCCCAGAACTCAGGGAGATAAGGACACTTTCCTCTAACCATAAAGTTGGTAAGAACAGGTTCCAATTAGAACCTGTTAGCTTGCGGCAAGGTGACCTAGAGTTGTCCTGGCAGTGGGGACTTGAAAGCCTGATGTCATCCTGTTGTCAGCCAAAAGTCAAGAGGTAGGCCTGGGCAGGACTCTCTGGAAACTTCCCTGGGGCCCCCAACAGAACTGGAGGGCAGGAGGGGTGTGCTGTCTCCTTTCTGAGGGGACCTACTCTCTTCCTTGAGAGTGTCCCCTTTCCCCTTTCCCTAACCTTTCTGATGAACTCCTGCCTGTTACTCTGAGCGACAAATCTGAAATCCTGGAGTGATGGCAAGTATTGGGGTTTGAAGGAGGGGTCTGCGTGGCTGCCTCAGTTTTGTCACAGACCGGTGCCTTGTAACAAGCCCACAAGCCACAGCCCAAGCAAGAAGACCCAGGCTGGGCCTGGATAAGGCAGTTATCCTGAAATCGGTTCC